ATGTTTGCTGATTTAAAAAAGCAGTCTAATCAAAGCAGTCAAAATAATACATTGGCAATATCAATATTTACCACCAAATTAAGATAAAAAGTGGCTTTAAAAGTCAATGTATTGTTGTTTTTTTTATTTCCTTACTGCAGTTGGCCGGTTCGTCGGATTCGTCCACGCAGTCGTAGTCTCTATCGCACACCCAGACTCGTGGTATACAGCGTTTGGTGATGGCACACTGGAACTGGTTAGGAGCACAGGTCACCTCAGCTGCAAGACAACACGACGACACTCAGCCAATCAGCTCATCAGAAAACAGCCTCATACATAGTGTAAATATCAAAACTTAAACTAATGAGAGATATAGGACTAGACTTACGGCAGTCCTTTTCATCTTCTCCCTGGCCGCAGTTGTTCTGACCGTTACAACGCAAGATTCCAGGGATACAGCGACTAGGATGCGAGCACTTAAACTGACTGGGCAGGCAAACGTGGATGTCTGAACGAGGACAAAAATGAGTGTTCATTAAGCAAATGTCCTAAAGATGATTATTTCAGTCCTACACAATTGCTTGGACATCATACCACAGTTGGCTTCATCAGAGTTGTCCTGGCAGTCGTTGTCTCCATCACAGATGTAAGCCGGGTTGGTGCAGAGACCTGTGCCACACTGGAACTGGCCTGGTCTGCATTTAAACTCGGCTAAAACCCAAGAACAGAGTATGAGAATGTTATGTATGTTTGAGTGTCCATGGCGTCTCTCACAGTTAAAGCCCTGATACTTACGGCAATCGGCAGGTTCATCTGAGCGGTCTCCACAGTCATCCTCAGTATCACACTTCCACCAGAAGGGAATGCACTTATCATTCTTGCAGACAAACTACAGTCAGAGAGAAAGAAGAGAGAGCACAGACAATTAGCCTAGCGTCATTTCTGACAAGAACATGTCAAGGTAATATTGCACCCCAAAATCACAAGAAAAAAAAAAATGCTTTTTTAGGACAATTAGGTTTTTTTGCATGGTGACATTTTCATTTGACTTCTGACTACACAATTTCTAACTCTACTTCTCATTACCAAAATGCTAAATAAAAAAAAAAGAAATAATAATAATGGTCATTACTGTATCGCAGTGTTATTTTAGTGTTACTTTAATATTATTGATATATTATTATAGTGTTCATAAAAATATTGAAGTTTTTTTCTATTTTCAGTTTTAATTTTTAGTCATTTTGTTGCGTTTTTGTAATTAAAAAAAAAACTTCTATTATAATATTATAAATATTTAGAATGCAAATAAATATTTATTCATTTTTATTACCAGTTTTAGTAATATTATTACTTCAAATTAAATGTTTTCAAATGTAACTTATTTCAAATTTTTGTTTTAATTTTTTTTCCATTTAATTTTTCTTTTTACATTTTTCAGTTTTATTTTGAATGAACAAAATTGTTTCAGTTTTTTTTGTTAATAATAACGCTGCTATACTGTAAATGAAGAAAAAAAGATTTTTTATTTTAAAAGTATTTATTAGAACTGCTAACGTGTTATTAATCTATTTAGTTAAGAAATAAAGAAATACTACAACATTCTTTTTCTTATTTAAAATCATCATACATTGATGGCAGCACAATAAACACTGACATAATGTTGAAACACTTGTTAATGTGTTAGCACTTTCAGTACCTTTATAATGCGAATCAAATAAGAACCACCATTAAGAAAAATGAATATTACAAGTAAAATGTGCTGGCATTCTGCATTTCGAGAAAATGTTTGCTTATTTGTGGCAAAATAACACACACCTGACTGGCTGTACAGTTGGACAAGCACTGTTTTCCATCAGCAGCCAGATAGAAGTTGGTGGGACAGGCACACTTGTAGCCTCCTCCAGGTGAGAGCAAACACAGGTTACTGCAGCCACCATTATCCACCTGACACGGGTGATCTGACACTGCAATTACAAGAGCATCAGAGAGGAGAAAGCTCAGAAAGCACATCAAACACCGCAGGAACATTTCTATACACAGCATGTGTGCATCTTCTCACCCTCAGGTTGTCTGGAGGGATGATAGATGTGTAAGTCCATGGGTCTGTGCAGGGTGCTAATCAACATGGTCTTGTTGGTGCCCAGGGTTTTGTGAGCTCTGTTAATGGACTTGGTCTCCCAGTCGGTCCAGTAGATGTACTCCTCAAATAGAGTCATGGCAAAGATATGAGGGATGTCTTGATTCAGCACTGTGGGGAAGAGAACACAAGACCCATATTTAATAAAGCAAGAAACAGAATATTGAAATAAGGGTGAAACTGTTTTTTATCCTTCAGATTTGAATGGATCATGAAAAGCAGTTTATAGTATCATTGGTTAATATCAATCTTCCCATCTTCATGGCCTTGATTACATTAGCGCAAAAAAAAAAAAAAAAAAAAAATTCATATAAATTAAGAATAAGTGACAAGACCAAACATATTAACCAATATTTGTAGGCTATTTTCATGACATGAAAAGTACTAATTTTAGTACTTCATATTAAACGGATTTCAGTTAATTGCCAAGCCAACAATTTTTTGTTTAGTTACCTTTTTATTTTAATTATAAAACTGAAATATTCTTAAATATTATCTTAAAAATAATTGTATATATATATATATATATATATATATATATATATGAATAAAAAACAGATAATATATTATTACAGAACTTTAGAAAGAAAGAGAGAGAGAGAGAGAGAGAAAGAGAAAGAGAAAGAAAGAAAGACAAGATCTTTCAACTTGATATTTGCCCATATTTGGCTTCCAATAGACCAAAAAACAGGTCCACTTGCTTGATTAACTGTTGTAGAAGTTTGCATGAATCTTATTACATTATGTTTATAAGATAATATTGATTTCCTGGCATCTCCTGACTTTAGCAGCACAAAGAAACTGTGAGGTTTCAAAGTCGAACCCTTTCAATCTAGGACAGATCTAGCATGTTCTTGCGTAAGCTTTCTGAATATTAGGAATTCATATGGAAATAAACCACCTCCTCCTCACTGCCTGTCTTTTGCACATACCAGTCTCAAAAACAATAGATCGACTGTAATATTACATAATACAGACATTCTATGATGTCATTTATTGGCGACATGAAGGCTGGGTCACTCCTTTGTCTAAACTAATTGCCTGAAGAAAAATGACCTCATAAGCAGTGTGTGTGTGTGTGTTTGCATTCACCAATGTGTCTGTTGGATCCATCCAGGCTGGAAAAAGCAATATAGTCTTCACGAGCATCTGCCCAGTAGATGCGGTCATTAATAAAATCTAGCGTCAAGCCGTTCGGCCATGTGATCTTATCTTGAATGATGATGTGGCGATCTGTGCCGTCCATGCCGATGCGGCCAATATGTGGCACATCACCCCAGTCTGACCAATACAGATACCTGGAAATAATAAACCACCAAAGTCAAACAAGCTCATAACGTGTCAAGTATAAATTAATTATTTAAAACAACAACAACATATTCACATAGATCCTTTAAGAGAAAATACTAGGGTATTTTATAAATATTTTATTTACATTTAGAACATTAATTTATTTAAATTAAATATTTTATATAAAATTATATATATATATATGTTTTTTTTTTTTT